TCCAAGCGTACGAATACAATGGCAAACATTACCATTGAGCAAATCATATTACTATCGACTGGCTCGTAGACTCTCTTGATTTAAGTCCAGTCGAGAATCTGTGGTCAATCTGCAAGGAAAGAATTCGTGGAATGGACATATGAAGTATTAACATGTGCACAGGGTCATGTTTCATTGGATAAGTACGAAAAATGTAAATAATAACGGAATTATTCGTTTTATTTCAATTAATTTTCACAAAGGTGCACTGCTGATAAAACCGAATGTTTTGCTCGGAAATTCTCTTCCAACTCTCCATTCTTTAAGTGTATGTTTTCCTGATCTTTCTCCTAGACATTATCCCTAAGGACGGATTCTCTACTATAATATAATATAATAATGCATAATGCACATAATTCTGCTCATAGTTTTTGTCACCATCTCCAAACGAGATCTCAGCAAGGCGCCCAGACTTGTCGGTATCCCTGCAATTGTTGTAAGGTAACGTGGTCCTAAACTGGCTTCTTGTCTCTCCAAACTCTACAATAAATGCTGATTCTTGCTTTCCAGCTTATTAGAAATCCTCTAAGGGAAGGTGTCAACAAGAATGCGTGGTTTATAAAGTTGAAATACACAGAAATAAACCCAATATTAGTATTAAAAAACGTGAAATTTTACATAGGATCAACCCAAGGTAATTTCAAATAAGCGTTGCTCTAATCATGTCATGAAAATTACAAACACATCACTTTAAGCATGAAAATTACAAACACATCACTAACCTGTCTACATACATATGGAAGATTAAACAGGAAAATGTTTCTGATCCCATTTTAAAATGGGAAATACTAAAAAAAATGCAATAAGTATAAAGCAAGGGACAAGTATTGCTTATTATGTATGGAGGAAAAATTAGCAATAGCCACTCCGATGAACCTAATAATTTATTAAATCAAAGATCTGAGATTTTAAATAAGTGCAGGCATAGGAAATCCTGGTTATTGGAATAGAGGCTCTGGTTTTGTTTTGTTTTGTTTTTGTTTTGTTTGCTTTATTTTTTTTTTTTTTCTATCTTCTTCTGTCACGTGTTTTTCTGTCAACTAGTTTTTAGTGGTTTTATCAATAAATATTGTTTCATGTCATTTAGTCTTTAACCAGCTTACCCTGAAGATCCTTTTAGGTGAAACCTAGGTAGGTTGTTCGTGGCGCTTTAGGATTTATTCCATTCATATATATATATATATATATATATATATATATATATATATATATATATATATATATATATAATGGCTTGTTGTTATCCGTTTGTCTGCGAGTTTCATTTCGTAATCCCTGCTACTAACGTTTGTTCTAGATTTTTTGTGTTTCCTCCACACACAAAAAAATCAATGATTTATTATTATTTTTTTATTTAAACTTGAAACAGACTGTCACTGCTGGGTGTTGCCTTCAATGTCCATTTTTATATTTATACACGTTCTGTCCCTAATATTGATGACTTTAACTCATAATTATGGCATACCTTAAAAATATATATATATATATATATATATATATATATATATATATATATATATCAAAACATAGAAGTCAACATTAGAGGCGACAGTCTGTTTCATTATAGATGCAATTGTCAGGCCACGAGTATGTTATTTTCTCGGCTATTTATATATACGGGTCAGCGGTGCATTGTGGGTAGTCTATTTTGGCGGTTAGACTACCCACAATGCACCACTGCCCCTATATAAATAGCTGAGAAAGATAACAGTACGCGTGGCCTGACCATTGCATCTAGCATGAAACAGCCTGTCGCCTCTAAGTGTTGACTTCTATGTTCACTTTTATATTTACACACTCTCTATCTCTGAAATTGAGCACTTTATCCCATAAATATAGCACTCCTTAAGACTATATTTCTTCATAGATAGATAGATAGATAAATGATAGAAATTTGGAGGATTTGAGATAATTATAATTAAGTAATTCATCGAGTTTCATATATATATATATATATATATATATATATATATATATATGGAAAAAATAGCAATAACGACCTACAATGAAACTAGAAATTTATTAAATAAAAAAGATCTGAGATTTTAAATAGATGTAGACATACGAAATCTTGGTTATTGGAATAGAGGCTCTCTTTTTTTTTTTTTCTCCCCCCTCTCTCTCTCTCTCTCTCTCTCTCTATATATATATATATATATATATATATATATATATATATATATATATATATCCTCTTCTGTCACGTGGTTTTACGCTAATTAGTTTTTAGTGGTTTCATCAATAAATATTGTTTCATGTCATTTAGTCTTTAACCAGCTTACCATGAAGATCCGTTTAGGTGAAACCTAGGTAGGTTGTTCCTGGCTCTTTGGGATTTATTCCATTTCGAAATCTTCTTCTGTAGTTCCTGTCTTTAAGAATGGTGAACCTTTTGATCCTTCGAATCATTGCCCGATTATTCCTTTACCATTTTTAGAGGCGCTAATCAATTCCGAATTAC